AAAAAAAAAAAAAAAAAAAAAAAAAAAAAAAAAAAAAAAAAAGCTGCTTTAAGAAACTGTCCAGCCTCCTCATGAGGCTCAATGACCCTTTTTCTAGCTGGAAGGACTTATCCTGATTCTTAATCTTACCTCAGAAAAGTCCTCTTGAACAAGTGCAGCTGTGAACATCCAAGTCAGGACTGGTCAGAGCCAAAGAGACAGCTGCTTTATGCTAGCTACACTCGGTTTAGTCTTTCAGTACAAAGGCTATATTTTTTTTTTTTTGAGATGGAATCTTGCTCTGACACCCATGCTGGAGTGCGATGGCACAATCTCAGCTCACTGCAACCTCCTCCTCCTGGGTTTAAGCGATTCTCCTGCCTCAGGCTCCCAAGTAGCTGTGATTACAGGTGCATGCTACCAAGCCTGGCTAATTTTTGTATTTTTAGTAGAGACAGGGTTTTACCATATTGGCCAGGCTGATCTCAAACTCCTGACCTCAAGTGATACACACACCTCCCTGCTGGGATTATAGATATGGGCTATTTATTGACATCAACACATTTGTCTTGATCACAGCTAGGGGTATAAATGTGTTTACCAAGCTTGGCTTCACTCACGGCACATTTGACAAGTAATTACAGGGCACTTATTATTTCTTAGATGCTGGGAAGTGGATAAGAATTGCAACTTATAGACTAGCATCCTGGCTTATGGGCTGGTTTTCTTCCATAAAGACCACAAGATGCCCCTGGAGTCAGCAACATTCTGGCTTAATCCACAGATAACAAAAACTCACCTGCTTCCCCACTTTGGATGTCCTTGTTCTTCAAATTCCCACAGAAAAGCTTCTGAATTTGTGAAATGCATAACCTCAAGGGAAAATACAAACATGAAATCCAGGAGTTAATAATTTTTCTCCAACGACAACAGCATCATTCTAGCATAAACCTCCTTAAAGCACCCACTGGTCAATCTAATCATATCTCGCCTTTGGAAGAGCATCTTCAGGTCACCGTTTGTCTGCTGATCTGAAAAACGGTAGGCTTTTTGATAGCTGGCTCATAATGCTGATTCCTGTTTTCAGTTTGTGGGTAGGCCTTACCGAGGAGGTATTTGAGGTCATACTTGGCTGCCTGAATGATACCCCTGATAACATAGTGTCTAAAACATTATCTGGCATATAGTAGGTACTCAATAAATATTCTGCTGGGAGAAAAGAATAGAGGGTTCTGCTCATTTCTGGGGTGTTAACTCACCGATGATTTTGCTCAGAGGTCATACGGGTCCCACTCTCAGTGTATCCAAAAACTAAACTTAGCGTCTACACCAAATCCTAACCTGCTCAGATTCTCATTTCAGAAAATGGCACCACCAGGCTGCAGTTGCCCAAGCCAGCATGCTGAGTGTTGTTACATCTCATCACTTGCCTAGATCTTTTGAATTTGTCCATCTCTCTTTGTTGCTATTGCTAGAGCCTTCGTTCAAGCCCCTGTTATCTCGCTCTGGTCACTGCCAAAGTCTCCCAGCCTCCAGCCCCACTCTGCTTGGACACCTGCCTCCCGCAAAATGCAAATTTGGTCTTGTCTCTCTCCTGCTGAGAATCCTCCAGTGTGTCCCCATTGCTCTTGGGGGAAAGCCCAAACTTCTTAGCATGGCTAACCAGCTCCTGCATATCTCTGCAGCCTGGTCCCTCAACGGTCCCCACTCCAGCCCTTCTCTGCAGCCTGCACCTGGACCTGCCAACTGCTGCTTTCATCTCTTGCATGCACTGTTCCCTCTCTCAAATGCTCTCCTCCTCGCCTTTCATCTAGCCAAGATCCTACTCATCCTTCAGGATAAACTTCGTTGCTGCTTTCTCTGGGGATGCTGGGCCAGTGGCTTTACCCCTGCCCATCCTGGAATTTCCCCCTTAAAACTCCATCTAGAGTGTCTTGTGGCTGCCTGTTTACTTGTGCATCCTCTGCAAGACAGACTATGACCCTAGCTCAAGCCATCCTGCAGGTGCTCAGTCAATATTCATTAAATGAATGAATGACAACATAAACACCATGAACTCATCATGCTGAGCTAGGAAGTGAAACAAAATTTGAGTCACATATTCGTGGCTTAAAGACAGTCATCCCAGAAAGCCAGCCAGCCAAGAGACACTTGTGACCACAGCTGGTCTGTGTCATGCCGTGTCAATTTCACCATGCTGTCTCCAACAATCCCAGGAGACCTCATGGCCAGGGTGCATGCAGGAAGCATGGGTGGGAGCCTGTGTCCAGAAAATTACCAACTACGTGCTGCCCTTTCCAAGGGAGAGGATGGCTGCCAGTGACTCAGCCTAAGGCAGGCAGTGGGAGCTGGACTTGTTTATTCAACAGGAGCAGTGGGGATCTGACCCAAGCCACCCTCGCTTCCTCCCTTGATCCCCCTCGTGGCTTGGGTGACACGTCTGGAAAGGGCTGGCCAGAGTCAAGAGTTCAGACCGTGATCTCAAAATGGAGCCACAGACTTTGGAAAATATGGCACAAGGTCCATGAACTCAACTACCCACACAAACATCAGTTTCATCGGCTGAGCCAAGGGATGCCAGGAAACAGAGGCAAGCGCACTGCCTCCTCCTGGGTGTGAGGGCTGCTTGTCAAGATACACAATTTATCCTGTAGGCTCTGCAGTTCCCAAGGGCTGGGGTTCATTTTAGGATCACTGGAAAAGTGAACAGAACACATGGCATCTGTGAGTTGTCTCACTGTTTGGGACTAAGTGTTCTGAGATGAACTCCCATTGCAATGCCTGGTGCGGGGATGCTGGGAACCTGCTGTTAGGCTGGAGCTCACTCCCCCAAGTCATGACCATGATGGAGAAAGGCAGACAGGGAAGAAGGGGAAGTAAGTTTCTCATGGACATGTGGACTATCCAAAGGGCAAAATGCCAATTTGATTAACTAGGAAGAATTACATAGACCTGGGGCTGGACCCCAGTTCTTCCATTTTCTGCCTCTTGGTCCCAGAGGAAGGGGGGAGTGAAAGAGAGTGTTTGGAACGCCTGGCACAGATATGCATTCAGTTAGCATCCTCCCTTTCATTCATTCCCTTTTCATTCATTCTTCCTTTCATTGTCTCTGGGAAAGGTGTCAAAATAAAAATGGAGTTATGACATATTAGAAACCCTGATGGAGCCTGCCATGGTAGCATGTTCCCGTAGCCCCTACTCGCAAGGCTGAGGCAGGAGGACTGCTTCAGTCCAGGAGTTCAAGGCCACAGTGAGCTATGATTATGTCTGTGAATGGTCATCATGTTCTAGCCTGGGCAACTGGGTGAGACCTTGTCTCTAAATCTCTTTAAAAAAACAAAAACAAAAACAAAAAGAACCCCACCCAACAAATAGAGGTGGGGAAGGCCAAGAAGGGAGAATTCTCACTCATGAATGCCCGATAATAAGAACTATCACAAAAGACTCTGCAAAACCTACAACTGTACACAAAGGCCGTCACAACCTCACACACAAAAAAGTACTGGGAGGACATCTGCCTAGCAACTCGAACTGGTGTCAGCCTTGTTATGGATCCTTGGAGCCAAGCATAATCATCTCAGAGCAATGAGGTAATCCTCCTCACTTTTCCTTTAAAAACCTTTGTCTTGCCAGGCACGGTGGCGCATGCCTATAATCCCAATACTTTGGGAGGCTGAGCAGGAGCATTACTTGAGCCTGGGAGTTTGAGACCAGCCTGGGCAACACAGAGAGACCCCGTCTCTACAACATATTAAATAAAAAATTTAGCATGTGGTGGCAATGTCTGTGGTCCCAGTTGCTTGGGAGGCTGAGGCAGGAGGATCAGTTGAGTCTGGGAGGTTGAGGCCGCAGTGAGCTGTGATTGTACTACTGCACTCCAGCCTGGGCAACAAAGCAAGACCATTCTCAAAACAAAACAAACTAACAAAACCCTTTATTTTTCTTTACCTCCCTGAATACACACATAGCTTACGGTGGCACAGGTATTCCATTGTAATGCCTGTTCCAGAATAAACATCAACTTCTTTAGAGAGTCTTCCTCTGCTGTTTGTTATTTAGGTTAACACTTCTATAAAATGGGTCATTGGTCTGTAGTCTCTCTCCCAGAACTACTTTCTGGTTAAAAATAAAATAAAATATACGGGTCCCTTCTTCCCATCCTCACCTCTTAAGCATGACCTCCTCCCACCCTTAGAATGGACTTGGCTTTGTGGGCAGAAATGGGGAAAACCACCAGGCAGCTTTACCAGCTGCGGACAGGAAGGGCTCTGGGTCTTTCCTAGGGCCATAATCCCCTAAGCCTTTGTGGGGGTACCCCCTCCCCAGCCTGGCCTGAGTCACACCTCCCGTGCTGTATCTCTGGGTTTCCATGACACCATGCATTCATATACGCCAGTGGAGCCCAGTGACACGCTTGACACGTGTGCATTGAGCATTTATGTGCCAGACACTTTTCTAAGCTCCTTACATGAATTACATCATAATTTTCTCACAGCAACCCTGTAAGACGGCATCCCCGATTTGCACATAAACTAAGGCATGAAAAGATTAGGGTGCCTGCAAGGAAGTTAGCACGTCCTCCTCTCAGCCTCCTCTCCCACACTCGGTGCCCCAGCCCCTGCCAAAGGACCAAGGCAAGAAGATCAGCAGCCTGAAGATAGCACCTCTGACTGGCTGACTAGGAGCTCCCTGCATCATGAAAACCCACAGACACAACGGAACGAAGTGCTGGCCAGCGGGGCACAATGACATACCCAAAATAGATGGGAAGCTGAGAGCCCGGTCCCTCAGCTTTCCACCATGAATGACCCTTTCCATAACTCAAGAAATACAGATTGGTCCCCACTCCCGTCCACGCGGACGGCACCCCCAGCTGGGAAAAGCAGCAATGACAGCATCCACGACACAAACACAGCTTGCCGGGCGGGGCAGGAACAGCCATGGAGCACTTTGGAGGACATAATGTATGTGGCATGGGGCATTCCAGACCCTTACTGACAGTGGAGTTTGCCTCTGACAGTTGCCTGATGCCGGAAGGTTCACAAGAGTTACCAGGAAAAAGCCCTTCATGTTATTATCTAAATTAAACACAACCTTTATTCTAAGATGTTTCTCACAGTCACATGGAATAAATTCCTATTGTGAAGACAAAGAAAAAGGGTGTGTGTGTGTGTGTGCGTGCGTGTGTGTGTGTGTGTCTCTCTTTCTCTCTTTTTTTATTTTTAGAGACAAAGTCTCGCTCTCTCTCCCAGGCTGAAACGGCATAATCCATGGCTCACTGCATGCAGCTTTAACCTCCTCAACTCAAGTAAACCTCCCACCTCAGTCTCCCGACTAGCTGGGACTACAAGTGTGCGCCGCCGTGCCTGGCTAATTTTAAAATATTTCGTAGAGACAGGGTCTCACCATGTTGCCCCATGCTGGTCTCAAATTCCTGTCCTCAAGCAATCCTCCTACCTTGGCCTCCCAAAGCACCAGGATTACAAGTATGAGCCACAGTCCCCAGACAAGTTTGTGTTCATTACAGAAAATCAGTTTCTCCCACACTCCGTAGAATGTACCAGTGACTCCAACTCTTCATCCCTCCCTGTGTCCGCACCTTTTGCATTCGTCTTGCAAAGATTCTCTCCATAAGGAGATAGAGTGTGTTTTCTGTCCCTTGACTGTGAGTTTGGCCATGTGACTTGCCTCAGTTCATGGGATGCTAGTGGATGTGAAATGGTGGAAGGTTTAAAACACACATGTGCTCCTGGGCTTACCCTCGTGTCTTCTGCTGTCATCATAATCAAAAATAACCATGTGCCCAGGCTAGCCCACCATCTCAGGAGGAGGACAACGGGCTCAGGGAACAGAGCCCAAGTGCCCAGGCAGAATCGAGCCTGGATCAGCTGAGCACCAGATGCATGGGTGTAGACTCACCCAGAACACCAGAGAGTATCTGCTACTTCTGGACATGCAGCTCCCCAACATCACAAAGGAGCAAGCCCCATGTGTAAAACCTTCTCATGGGAAGACCGGTTCCTCTGTCCCTGCTGCTGTGCTGGAGGAAGGTGTTGTCTTGGAGGAAGGAACTGGGGAAGGTGCAAGGAGGCAGAATGAAATAATGGGGGTATTGGCTGGCAGAGCACAGAGCTGAGGCACCCCAAAATAAAATCACTGGGATCAACTATTAACATGCTACTCAGGCAATAAAAAAGTTCTGTTTATTAAGCATCTACTATTTGCCAGAAACAGTGCTAACTAAGCATTTTCAATATATGGCTTCATTTAATCCTCAAGATAACTCTTCATCTTGAAGAAGGTGCTATATAACCATTTTAAAGATGAGGAAACTAAGGCCCAAAGAGGCTTAACCACTGACTAAAGGTCACAGAAGAAGTAGGTGAAGAAGTGGGGATTCCATCCCTGTTGATAGACTGCTTTTAACAGTCCAAATGCCCAGCACCAAATGCCATTTCTGCACCCCACCCCTCAGGCCACCGCTTCCACTTTAGCTCAGTGACTCCTGAAGATTTCGTTCCTGCTGCCCAGACCCTCTCATCAGCTTTTAGGATCACTTTGCCCCTATGCCCAGGCATAGCTCCAGCACCTGCATCCCTAACACTAAGGAACTGGGCAATAGAACAGGGTTGGCCAGTGGATCTAGAGAGGGAAGATTTGGCTACTCGCTGAGCAAACACTGAGCAAGCAGTTCTTCTGTGCTGGGTGCTGCCCCAGGAGTACAGTCCATGCTCACTTCAATTTGTCTGTGAGCTCACAAGACAGATGCTGCCAGCCTAGGGATGGCAGTGGCATCAAGCCAGGTCCATGCCCCAGCAAAATGAGGTGTGCCTTCTGCAATAGGGTTGCTACAAATTGCACGTTTGTTTCCTCCAAATCTCATGTAGAAATTTGATCCCCAATGTTGGAGGTGGGGCCTAATGGGAGATATTTTGGACATAAGGGCAGATCCCTCGTGAATAGACTAACACCCTCGCTCAGGGGTGAGTTCTCACTCTCAGTTCCCACAAGAGCTGGTTGTTAACAAGAGCCCAGGACCTCCCCTCTCTCCTCTCTCTGGCTTCCTCACTTGCCATGTGACCTCTGCATAACGGTTACTCTTCACCTTCCACCATGAGTACAAGCAGCCTGAGGCCCTCACCAGATGCTGAGTAGATGCTGGTGCCATGCTTCTTGTACAGCCTGCAGAACCTTGAGCCAAATAAACCTCTTTTCTTTATAAATTTCTGCGCCTTCAACACAAACAGACTAAGGCAAGGGTCCAGCTCTGTGTTTCCAGGAGAGGCAAGGGAGAACTTATCACATGGGGAAGTGAGGGTCCAACCTCCTGCTCGGAACGCCATGAGACTGAGAGAGGATCGATCGATTGGGTGAAAATGGACATTCCCCACAAGCTGTCTAAACACCGAGCCAGGACTAACTAGGTTTTGTTTGTCAAGAAATCAATTGGCTCCTGGATGATAAACTCAGAACCCTGTTTGGGTTCAACGTTCCCATGGGAAGAAAAACTAAAAAAAAAAAAAAAAAAAAAAAGCTTCAGTCTTTCTCTGTGCTTTTGTCACCACCCGCAGACATTCGCAGAGGAAGTAGTCACTATGACCCTGTCCATGCCGAACAGCTGGCTCCAGAGCGAGCCTTCCTTACAGATGTGCCTGTGACAGCCACTCCAGCCAATCAGAGTGGCCCAGCCATTAGGCACCTTCCCCCCCAGGAATGATGGGCCATTCCGTGTCACAAACCTTTGAGTCTCCCTACCTGTCTGGGTTCCTCAGAGCTTCCTCAAAGTCTATACTCAGAGCCTTGCACTTCTGGGAAAGTGAGAGCAGGTCCCCAGAAAAAGGCTGTTTGGGGAAGCGCCACCGGTTGGTTGAGCCAGCGATCCGGCGTTCCAGCTGAGCTCTGTGCTGCTTGGTAATCAAAGAAAGAGAAGACATCTTTTTCTAACCTCACATGTAGGCCAGATTTTCCAAATTGTATAGGAGAAAGGAAATCAAGACAAATTTTACAGTGCTGGTTAATTTTTGAACATGGCTAATATTTCTCACGAGATATCTTCTCAAGCCAAAGACGCTGTATTCCACTGACCAAGGGTCTCAAGCTATAAAATAATTTGGAATTTAAGATCTAGGACAAGGGGTGTCAGAGGCGAGAGGCCAGGGAGAAAGATTGTTTTTTGCAGGTAGCTCTCTGAAGAATCCACAAGCAGGGATAGCATTATGCTTTAAGTACTGTTCTTTGAGTACTTACCCTAAGTTGTCATACAGAGAGATGTGAAACTGTGGAGATCTTGGGCAAGGAATTTTTTTAACAGTGGTAAAATACATAAAACGTAAAATTTGATCTGTTTTATAGTGTACAATTTTGTGGCATTTAGTACACTTACAATGTTATGCAACCATACCACTATCTAATTCCAGAACATTCTCATTACCCCCCAAAGAAATTCCATACCTATGAAACCGTCACTCACTGTTCCCCCATCCCCAGCCCCTGACAACCACTAATCTGCTTTCTAAGATTAGTGTCTAAGTTCTGATTTCATGCTTTTGCCTGTTCTGGGTATTGTATGTAAGTGGAATCACACAACATGTGGCCGTTTGTGAATGGCATCTTTCACATAATGTTTCCAAGGTTCATCCGTGTGTTGGTACTTATTCCTTTTTAAGGCTAAATAATATTCTATTGTGTAAATATTCCACATTTTGTTTGTTCCTTCATTAGTTGATGGGTACTTGGGTTGTTTATACCTTTTGGCTATTGTGAAGAACGCGGTGAATATTCATGGACAAGTTTTTCTTTGAACACCTGTCTTTTTATTCTTTTGGTTATATACCCAGGAGTGGAACTGCTGAGTCTTTGGGCAGGGACTTTTACTTAGACATTTTCTTGAGGCTCCAGGGGAAATTCAGCAATTTTCTTAAGGGAGAAGGATGATACCCAGCATGGATATAAACCTTAGACTGAAGGCTCAATGCAACCTAGCCAGGAAAAAAGCACCAGGAGGGACCCACAGAAATGGATGTCATTGATCCCAAGCCACCCACGGCACCAATGGAGAGGTGGCGAGACCATGGGCCATGGACCAGAGGATCTGAGTTCAAATCTTGTAACTGCTACTTTCTGGTTGTGTGACTTTGAGCAAGGTATTTAACATTTTGAGGCTCTCAGGTCTCATGTGTAAAATGGGAATAACGGCTGGTGGTGGTGACAGTAATGGCAATTGTGACAAAGATGGTGAGTATGGCCATGGTGGGGATTGTGGGGATATCACCTTGTTTCCAGTGTGGTGAAAAGTATAAAATAGAATAAAGTTTGGGAAATATGCCTTAGTATAGGGCCAAGAAGATGGTGGGTGATTAAAGACTGTAGAATCTGAGTCTAGACATAGTCCTGCTGTCACATGAGAAGTAAAACATCGTCAGCTCAGACCACAAGCCCGCTCTCTGCTTTCTGGATGGCGCTGCCTGGATGCACTCTTTCCAGCCGAGTCAGCCAATACGCTTGAGGTCCTCGGTGGTGCAGGACCCAGCCCCTTGTAGAAATTGGTCCAAATGACCATAACCAAGTGCTTCTTCTCATCACCTACCTTCTTGAGAAACCGATCTACTTACCACGTTTGACATTATCATGAATGAGAGTGGAGATTACACAGGAGAGAAAAGATAGGCAACCTGGAAGACAAAAGAGGTAAAGGTGAAATTCTCCATGCTTTTCCAAAGGATTTCTTCAAAATATTATGGAGGAGACTGGCCTAAAGAATCTATATTTTGCCACAGGAACAACAATGAATAAGCCTCGAATGTGGGTTATTTATCAGTCAAGAGAATATCTTGTTGTTGTTGTTGTTGTTTGTAAGCACATTAGTAGACAGATCCCTGCTGTTACTCTGGGAAAGTGGCTCAGATAAAGCAAAACAGAAGACAATCCTTTGCCGATGTGAGGAAGACCAGGAGATAGCTATGAGTAGGCTGATCACATAATTGATCATTCAGACCAGGAGAGTAAAGGGGTGATATTAATAATCAGGCCTGGACAATGGCTGTAGACCAGGGCTGCCCTGGAGCCCAGTGGACTGATGGTCACCCTAGCTTCCGGAGCCCTGAAAGAGGAAGAGTGGAAGGACTTTCCAGCTGTCTCTGAACATTCTCAGGGCAACTGGGTTACAAGCAACAGAAACCCATTTGATTATGGAGTTAGGGGGAGGTTAAGATTGATTGGAAGGATGGTGATGGGAGGAGGGTCTCAGGTGGAAAAGGAAACTGGAGCACTCTCTGGAAAGAAGAGGAAGCAGCTGCAGGGATCAGCAGCTGGTGGCTGGTGTCAGACACTGCCTCTAGCATGAGTCGGCTCTTTCACAGTCCATCTATGCGGGGTTCTGCTCAACCCAGATTCTCAACGAGAGGCCCCAACTGCCCTGGCTTAGCTCAGGGGCCCAGTCTTTGCCCCTGAGGGCAGACACCTTGACGAATTCTCCCAACAAGACCATGCACTGGGGGCTGGGCAGTTCCCCAGAGCCACATCAGAGAAGTGAAGAAGTGGGCAAGCTAGTAAAACCAGCAGAATCCATGGCACTTGATGACCAAGAACCTCAGCTGACCTCCCCTTTGCTCCCCAAACAGCACTTCACCTGCATCACAGCCATGCTATGGTTCCTCCATCCGCCAACAAGCATTTCCTGTGCAGTTGCCATATGGAACAAGGTGTCAGCCATTTCTGAGACAGCAGTGAGCAAAATGCACGTCATGGAATTTCCATTCCACCTGGGCAGATGGGCTTTCTTTTTCCTTTTAATTACCTTAATTGGACTTTTAATTACAAAAGTATTAATAATACATGCTTGTTGTAATGAGCAAACCAAAGCAATGACAGGACAAGAAAAAATTAGCAAAGCCGTGTAGTATTACTTTTTCTTTTTGTGGGGGGATAGGGTCTTGATCTGTTACCCAGGCTGGAGTGCAGTGGTGTGATAAAGGCTCACGGCAGCCTCAATCTCCTGGGCTCGAGCGATCTTCCCACTATAGCCTCCTGAGTAGCTGGGATTACAGGCATCAACTACACCTAGTTGATTTTTTAATCTTTCTAGAGCCAGGGTTGCCCAGACTGGTCTTGAACTCCTGACATCAAGCAATCCTCTTGCCTTGGCCTCCCAAAGTGCCGAGATTATAGGCATGAGCCACTGTTCCTGGCCCCATAATATTTCATACAGTGGATACGTCATTATTAAAATATCCCTCTGCCAATAGTCATTCAGGTTGTTTCCTATATTTTATTACCATAACAATGGGAACAATATGCATACACATTAGAGCAGTTTGTGTACATGTGTGCATACATGTATCTGTATGTTACCTATATCTGCATCTAAATATATGTGTGTATGTTTGTGTATATATATACACAAATATATATATATACACATATATCTTGTGTTACTGCTTTTAATTCGATGAAATAGTCTTCCAAGTGGTATAGTTATGTTAGAAATAGGTATCTTCAGCTGAAATAGTTAATACCAGCTCACTTGCCCCAAAATTGCAACAATGAACACTCCTGTCATCAATGTATAAGTGTTTTTTTTTTGTTTTTTTTTCACAACATCTCCAGTACTAGGTAGTATCATCATCTTTATTTTTGCTAAGCTGGTGAGTGCCAGATGGTTTCAGATTACTGTTTAATTTGAACTTTCCTGGCTACCAGTCAGGTTGAGCATTCTTTTATATATTTATTGGTCCTTTAATTTTTCTTTTCTGCAAACTGCCTGATCACAGGCTTTTCACATTTTTCTCCTGGGTTACCATAGTTTCCTTAGCGTTTTTTTTTTTTAGGAGCTTTCTTTGTACTATGGACACTAACATTTTGTCTGCTATACATGTTGCAAAAGTGAATCATATGTCTTTTGACTTTGTTTATGGTAAACAAATTGCTTTATGAGGTACGAAAATGTGTTTGTGAATTTCCTTTGCCAATCTCTAATTTGAAAACATATCTGGGGGCCAGTTGCAGTGGCTCACGCTTGTAACCCCAGCATTTGGGAGGCTGAAGTGGGTAGATCACCTGAGGTCAGGAGTTCGAGACCAGCCTGATCAACATGATGAAACCCTGTCTGTACTAAAAATACAAAATTAGTCAGACACAGTGGTGCATGCCTGTAATCCCACCTCCTTGGGAGGCTGAGGCAGGAGGATCGCTTGAACCTGGGAGGTGGAGGTTTCAGTGAGCTGAGCTGGGACCATTGCACTCCAGCCTGGGCAACAAGAGTGAAACTCCGTCTCAAAAAACTAAAAACAAAAAAAAGGAAAAGAAAAAAGAAAAAGAAAACGGGTCTGGGTACAAAAATGGCCCTGGTGTCTGTACCCATCTGCTGGTGTCCTAATTGGCAATCACATCTGCGTATGCATGTGTGTTAAGAGCATCTTTGGCTGTTCAAGAAGCTTTCAGAGGTACATTTCAGTTCAGAGCAATGTGTGTTTTCCTTGATGGCTGAGTTCCCAACTTGCATGAGGAGGCTTCTCCCACCTCAGGTAACACATACATGCTTTTCTGATTGCTTTACCTTATAGGAGCCAGAATGATGAATTCCTCAGTTTACAATCCTTCACCAGCTTCCCACTGTCCTAGGCAGACACTGAATCCTCAAAGTGGCCTAAAGGAATCTGAGAAGAGAGAAGAGGGTTCCATTCTAAAGGTGACCGGGTCGGCACAGAATAAACCCCACAGAGATAGGGCTTGCCATGCCCATGGGGCACCACTTCAGTTACAGAGAGAGGAAGGCTGGGGTTTGCACTCAGCTATCCAAAGCTCCTGCTTTCTTAGATCAATATCCAAGAACTTTTGTAGCTGATCTTGAGATCCAGGGACATTTCAATGGCCTGGAAATGTGTTTGTTCTTTTTTCATCCCACCAGGCAATCTGCCCCTTCATACGTTTTGTTTTTGTTTTTGAGATGAAGTCTCACTCTGTTGCCCAGGCTGGAGTGCAGTGGCACAATCTCGGCTCACTGCAACCTCTGCCACCTGAGTTCAAGCAATTCTCCTGCCTCAGCCTCCCGAGTAGCTGGGATTACAAGTGCATGCCACTACACTTGGTTAATTTTTTATAATTTTGGTAGAGACAGGGATTTCATCATGTTGGCCAGGCTGGTCTTGAACTCTTGCCCTGTGATCCGCCCACCTTGGCCTCCCAAAGTTTTGGGATTACAGGCTTGAGCCCCCGCACCCTGCCCCCTTCATGCATTTTGAGAGTCTGTGCCTAGGTCCTTGTGGGTGGGCAGGAGCTACCTGCAATGGTCTCTTAGCTCCCAGACCTCTCCTGATTCCCCAAACTCCCTCCCGAGGGACCCAAGTCGAAGCAGCACTTGTCACTAGGACACCCTTCTTGGCCTCTGAAGTGGCTGAAAAGTACCCATCGTACTTACTGTCCCAAAGCCCTTTTGCCCAGCACAGGCGTGTTTACAGTGGATGTGTGCTGAGTGGAGAAGCTCCCATCACACTGGCCTCTGAGTTACAGGAGAGCTGGGGGCTGGGCGCCTTCTGAGCTTGAAGCCTGGAAGCAATCATCACATCTGGGGCTCACCCTTTCCTTCTTATGGGCCAAGGCGCT